GGGGTTGGTGAAAAAGGATCAAGAGAAGAAGCAAAGAATCCAGTTAGGCTACTATGGTAGTGGCCAGAGATTATGATGACTTGGACTAGGGGAGAGATGGTATAAAGTGGGGAAAGTCAAGATATACTTTGGAGACGGAGCTGCCAGGACTTGTTAATGATTTGGATATGAGTTGTGAGGAAAAGAGAAGAATCAAAGATGACTCCTAGGAACTTAGTTTTGAGCAATAGGGTGACTGATGTGGTAGATTTAAAGATACTGTTTGGGAACACTTGAAACAACTATTAAATAGCTAAGTGACAAAGTAGAGTAGGTATTAGATATATGAGTCTGGAATTCAGGAGTGAAGTCGGAGCTAGAGGTAAGAATTTGGGAATCAGGAACATATGGATGGTACTTAAAATCTTTGTAGTAGGCCGAATAATGAGTCCCCAGATATGTCTATGTCCCAATCCTTGGAACCTATAAATATGGCAAAGGCAACTTTGCAAACATGATTAATTAAGGATCTTGAGAAGGGGAGGTCATCCCGGATGTCTCAGTGGGCCCCATGTAATCACAATAATCCTTGTACGAAGGAGGCCAGAGGAGTTAGAGTTGGAGAAGGTGATGTGATGACAGAAGCAGAGACTGGAATGATGCACTTTGAAGATGGAGGAGGGGGTTACAAACCAAAGAATGCAAGTGGCCACTCAGAGCTGAAAAGGGCTAGGAAATGGATTCTCCCCTCAGAGCTTCCATAAGGGATCAGCCCTGCTGAAACCCAGTAAGACCCATTTTGGACTTCTGACCTCCAGAAATGTAAGAGAATAAGTTTGCATTGTTTTAAGCCACTAAGTCTGTGGCAGTTGGTTACAACAGAAAAAGGAAACTAATACAGATGGGAATAAGATCACCCAGAAAGAGTGGGGATAAAGAAGAGAAGGGGCCTCAAAATGGAGTCTAGAGCATTCCAAAATCAAAGAGTGAAGTCCAGGAGGATAAGCCACTGAGGAGTACCAATGTCTAGGAGGAAAACTAAGAAAGTGCAGTATGATGGAAACCAAAGGAAGAGTTTTGAGGCAAAGTGGTCAACCGTGCTGAATGCCTCCGAGAAGCAGATTAAGATGAGGGTGAAGAAATGGCCATTGCATTTGGCAAGATAGTGCTTGTCTGACCTTGTCAAGAGCAGTTCCGGTGGAGTGTGTATTTAGGAAGGTTCTTAAGATTAGTTGGAAAGAGAATGGGAAATGAGGACATGGGAATTGTGCATCTAGACAACTTGTTTGAGTAGTTTCCTAAGAAGAAGAATGGAGAAATGGGGGAGGATTTGCAGCCAGGAGAATTTTGTGTTTATTTTGTTTTTAAAATGGGAAATAGTAGTGCATGTTTGTATGCCAATGCCAATGGGAAAGGTCCAATAGAAAAGGAAAAGAATGGTGCAACACAAAGAGTGAATAACTTCAGGAATCTTTAATGAAGAAAGAGAGGTTTACTTACCCTGGCCTTTAATAGGAGCAGACTCTTTTCCCACTGTTACAGAAGAAAGGCAGAGGTTATGGGTTGATAGATTTGATGACATGAAGATGAGTCAGTTTTTGATTGCTTCTACTTTCTAATTAAAGTATAAAGAGAGATAAGATATTTACTAGAAACACATAGTTGTGAATCTAGAGTGAGACCAATTAGCATGTTTGTGCAGTTTTCTCCTGCGGAGTTCAGTGCAGGTATGAAGTAAGTGAAAAGTTGGAATGGTCAGGATTGGGAGTTTGCCTGCCAAGAATGAGAGAGGGGCAAGGATGCTAAGGGTGCTTTCAAGAGGCTGTTGTGATAATAGACTATGGAGTTAAGCAGTGAAAGGAGGGAAGAGAGAACATGAAGGAGGTAACCCTGTATGGTGGTTACTGGGTGCTAGGCGTTGTTTTTATCTTATTACATATAATACCATGTAATCTTATGACTACATTGGGTAGTGGAAAGTGTTATGGTCAGTGGATCAGAGGTCTTCCAGCAGGCCCAGGAATCACTGGGATGGACATATTTGAATAAATGAACCTGGAGGTCAGGAGACAGACTTGGTTGAATGCAACCTCTGTCACCTGTTATAACTGTGTGACTGTAGGGAAGGCACTTTGTCTCTCTTTCTATGGCATAAACTGATAGCAATCTTACTCTTTCTTTTTGTATCCAGTTGTGTTTTTGTTACCTGCAACTAAGGGTCCAGACAGACACAATTGTAATTATACACTTATGAGGATACAATGTTGCAGTATGTGGCTCACAGTGAGTGTTCTACAATTACTAGCTCTCGTCTCTTACCCCTTCCAATAATGACCCCCAAGGGCAGTAGATGTCTCTTATGTCATTCGAGAAGCCTGATCCTGTGCTGGGTACAATACAGATGAACTCTGAGAATATACCAGTTGTCCATCACAGAAAAGTTAAAATTCAATCTCTGCACATCTTTTTTAACATGTCACCTGCCAATATTTCCAGCTCCGTCTCCTGACCTTCCTTCCTCCTCAAACTTTGCCCTCCACCTACTAGAAGTTCCACTAGGCATTCTCCAATTTCTAATCTCTCACACATGCTGTTTCCTCTCTTTGGACCTACCACTCCCAAACTCCAGAAGAGTTCTTCCTCCTCCAGAAAACCTTCCCTGACTAACCACCCAGACACAGGTCAGGGTCTCTGGTTCTCACTGCACTTCCTAGTACCTCCATTATGACAACTGCCACATTGTATTGTAATTGATGGTTTCCTTGAGTGCCCATCCAACCTGAGGATGATGTAGCAGGTGCCCAGAATGTATCCCTTCCTACCAAGAACAAGGTGCATCAGGTCATGGTCCCTACTCAGGTCTTGTAATGTTTTCATCTTCACCTCTCTCTGCTGTAAGCCTCACTAGGCTGCTCCAGCTGCATTGAATTTCTTTCACTTCCCTAACAACCATGCCTGCCTCCAGGCACTTTACTCATCACCCGCCCCAGTACTCTTCAAACCCATGTAACTAGATTGCTTCTGCTCACCCTTCAAGACTCTGTTTAGAATATACCTCCTCTGAGCAGCTTTTCCTGCACAATCCTTTCTACCTCAGGTCAGGTTAGGTACTTTCCTGTGTACCTCAACCTGTGCGTCCCTCATCACAATTCTTGCCATCATCACTGCCCTGTCACACATAGCCTGTTCTCTTGTCTGTTTCTAGTGATCTGTGAGATCCCTGAGAATTGAGAAGTCCACATTCAAATCTGTGTTCCCACTGCCTACCACTGAGTACTTATGAAATATTTCTTGAGTGAACAATGAGATAGAGATTCTGGCTCTTTAGAAGGAAGGTCAGACTCAGGGTTGTGGTGACCCTACTCAGGTTCTTATTCCCATAAAGCCTGGGAATAAACCAGTTGCCACCTCCTTCATAACTTTAAGGGGGTGAAAAGATGCTACCCTGAGGGAAGGTGTAATTGCCAGCAGTAGGAGCCCTATTGCACATGAAGGCAGTTAAAATGTCATTCCTAAGCCTCACAACAAGCACCTGAAATAGGTGTTATGCCCCATTAACAGATGGAGCACCTGGCTTAAAGAAGTGGAATGTCTGCCTTAGGTCCCAAAGCTGGAAAATACCTGAATCCCCATTTCAAGGTCCTTACAGAATACCTGCAAAGATGAGAGGTGGTGAAGAGTTGCCTTGTGTGCTCTGAGACAGGTTCTTTGTACCATACCACCTCGGCTGCCAAAAATTTGCTTTAGAAATGCATTTCCACAAGGCCTTCCCCCCTCATTGCCCTGGCTCTGGGATCTTATTTTTCTGACTTCCAGAATCCTGCCAGCACAATCGTACCACGTAGATCATGACCACTCCTCAGCTGGTTTAGCTCTGGGAAAGCTCAGCGAGGGTTATCGTACAATGACCAACCCCACATACCAGGCCTTGTGTCAGACACCTGACATTCATTCAGTAATCACGGTAACTTTGTCCAGTGTCTCTGGAGCAAGCTAAAAAGGCTGGATCGCTGGGGAAGGGAAAGAAGCAGGACTAGGAGCAGGCAGGGCCTGAGTTCAAGTCTTGCGGGGATGTGGGTGTTTAGCCCTAACTTGGTCCTTAAGTAACTTTGTGCTAGTAATTTAGCCATCTAAGAAAATGAGGGGATTGATGCTACAGATGATCTCTAAACTCCCTCAAAGGTGCCTGTATGAGATTCTCTTCTTTCCCCCTCCCTGACGCGCCACTATTCCGGGCAGCAGCTTGACCCAGGGAGTGGCGATGTACTGCTCAGCCCAGGGGTGTTCTCAGTTCACCTCTTTCGAGGCCAGTTCGGCCCCTGACTCGGCCCATGGCCGGGGAGGCCACTGAGCTCCCCAGGCACTGAGCACAGAAAACTAGACGATAGGTTATTCCAGGACAAGGGGGCGGAGGCGCCAAGAAACTACAACTCCCAGGAGGCCACTCGGTGCCACTGGAGACTAGGCGCGGTGCATGTTGGGAGCAGTAACTGCCTCCCCGCCGCGCCTCATTGTTAAGATCGCTAAGTCAGGTAGCCCGCGCGCATGCCCAGTCACGTCTCAGCTAGCTGTGCTTCTTTCCTTTCTGCAGGCCTCTTCTCTTTCCGGTCGTGCTGGGGCGCTCTTTTCCCCGCCCCACCTCCTCCCCCTTGTCAGGGAATTTGGAGGGGGCGGGGCTTCTGGCAAGCGCGTTCCCAGGGGTGTGTACCCGCGCGTTCACGGGAGATTAAGGAGGGAGGGGCCTGAACACTGGATGTGGATGGTAGAGAGGGTGGAAGACCGTGGGCAAAGGAAGGCGCATGCGTCCTAGCGGTTCTGCCTGGCTTCAGGCGTTGCAGAGGGGCAGGTGGGCTGACGCACGCGCATTGAGCCACCAGCGCCCCGCCTCCCGCTTCAGGTTTCCCCTCCTCTTTCACCACCCTCCCGGAAGTGGAGCCGCCCTCGCGCCCACCAGCGGCCACCCCCTGTGGCAGGCCCCGCCCACAAAGGCTCCACCCCCCGGGCCCCCCCCCCCCCCCCCGGGCTCTCCGCCCCCTGCTCTGGTAGTGGCGCCGGATTGCAGTCCCGGTCGTGGCGGTTCTGGTGCCCGAAGCCGGGAGCGCGGAGACGTTCCCGAGAGAGGCGGCCAGGCTATGATCGCCGGTTGCCGGCGTCCCGGTCCGGCCAGCCAGAGTCTCTACCTCAACCTGTGCCCGTGCCCAAGCGGTCTCCTCAGCCCGGCCCCGCGGCGCGGCTGGCGGCGGCGCCCCCGGCGCGCCCCCTTCTCCGATGGCGGCGGAGATCCAACCCAAGCCTCTGACCCGCAAGCCGATCCTGCTGCAGCGGGTCGAGGGGTCCCAGGAGGTGGTGAATATGGCCGTGATCGTGCCCAAGGAGGAGGGCGTCATCAGCGTCTCGGAGGACAGGTATGGACTGCTGCCCCTCGGCCGCGAGGAGGGGCGGGACGGGCTGACTGTCCCCGAGCCCGCGTCATGGGCTGTGCCTCCACGTCGGCGCGAGTGCAGACGTGCTCCCCTAAGTTTTATTGCAATGCGCATCCCGGCGGTGCGGGTGTCCAGCTGCGCGCTGTCGCCGCGACGTGGCCCGGGGAAGCGGAGCCGGGACGGCGGTGTGCGCTCCGGCCTCGCCCGGGGCTGGGTGGCGGCTACGAGAGCCCGGGTGGCCCTCAGGCTAACGGTGCGCCCGACACCGGACCTTGGTTCATCCCTGAGGACTGGAGGGAAAGAGGGAGGAGCCTCCCGCCCCTTCAGGTGTGTGCCTGGGGAAGATGCTCCGAGCCTCCTCTGCAAGATAACTAAGGTCTTCGGGTACTCTCTGGTACAGTTCTTAGGGTTCCAAACTGAGAAAGCAAATGCCACTCCCTTTTCCCAGACATTTCCACCGAATCCAGATATCTCAGACATCTTACACTGAATTCAGTGAATACTCCCAAGTTGTGAAAAGAGTAACTTTAGGCTTCTGCGTAGTGTCTTCTCTCCTTTCCCCTCTTTTTCTTATCTCTTCGAGCTCAAGGGGAAGCGCCTAGAACTTCAACGGATCACTGCTGCAAATAGCTCTTGAGTTCCTTCCCTTTGCTTGCTTCCTTTATTTTCGCTTAATTTTGCTTAATTTGCAGAAGTGGAGCTAGTTGTTCTGCCTTCAATATTCTTCCTTCCAATTATCTTTGCGTTTTTGCTTTAACTTAAAGGTCCTTTAATATGCACAAATAAGACTGAAGAAGCTAATTACTAGTACTAAATGTAGTACTTATGGTAATTTATCAGGAATTGTTACTTTGATAATGTCTATAAGCATTCTGAAAAATGTAAAACTGTAGAAGTACATGACAAGGGGCTTTTATAGTAGTTAGGTTTTTAAAATATGCATTGAAATCATGCGGAGGTAGAGAATATTCTTCCTTGGTGACTCCTAAAACGGCAGAGGTAAAGCAGCGAAGTGTTCATTACTGTCTTTATAGTCATTTCAGCAGTTTGCATATAGTATGGCCACAAACATTTTGCTTGATAGGTCTGTTCATATTTTAGGTTCCTTAATATAACCAGGATGAGTATATTAGTGACATGTTCTTGTCTACATCATGCTCAATACAAATGGCGCTTGATTGATTTCCTATGCAGAGCCAGTGGAAAACATTGTAAACATACACCAGTGGCAGGCAGTCTGCAATGAACAAAAATTCATGGCTGGAATGGAATTTTAATTTTTTCATAGAGGCAAAATTCTATTTAAAAAGACTGCTTCTGGACCTAGAAATTCTTTGCCATAAAATTGTTTTTATGGAATACATTCCATAAAATATATTGAAGGACTATATTAGTAGATGTCCTTTCCCAGTCTGTAACTACTGGAGATGGAGTGATCAATTCCTAACTGCTATAGAAAATTCATAAGTAACACTGCATCAAGTAAGAGAAGGGCAAAGGTAGTGAAACCTAAGCTCCTTTAGTTTTAGTTTTGAAACTTCTGATTCCCATCACACTGCATTTACCTTGAAGGAAACAGCTTTACTGGGGTATATTTCAAAGTATTTGGAGAAACTAAAGTAGAATATATGAAAGAAACTGAAGAATAAATTTCATTTGATTATAGGACAAAAGAAATGCAACGTTTAGCTATATCTTAGCCTAATTTTTACTTTCCTAGTTTACAAGGTAAATAATAGAAATTAGTTTACCATAGAGTTACTGTTAGATAAGTAAGGCCCACACATTAGTCCGGGATTATTATTTATATATATTTTATTATTATTTAAGTTGACAAGTCTGTGCTTCTTTGGGTCATATACTCAAACATGAAAATAACTTTGTTATTTAGAGCTCAGTTTCAGTTATTGTTTTCATTAAAAGAATTGATCCACATTCTTGCTTTTCAAAATCCAATGTTGATGTCACTTGATATAATGCTAAAGATATGAAAATAGAATATTGATTTTCATCAAAACCTACAAAGCCATTACCATGGACTGCTTTGGCTACAAACTAGTTATCTTCATTCCTGAACTCTAAGATGAAGCCATGAATAGTGTCCCATACCTGAATGGCAGTGTTCCATAAGTTGTTATGAATCCCTTGTTTGTTACGAATCCCTCGTTCCTGTTTTTGACCTCTGACTCCTTTATTGCCTGTATCTGTGCCTTTGAAACACTTAACATTTTCTATTTTAGCCAGTATCATACAATATATACTTCATATCCTTTTCATCTTCTCTTCTGTGAGCTCCCTATGGTGCTTCCTGTGTCTTGGTCATTGTATTATCTTTAGGGCCTAACAGTGGCTGGCACACAGTAGGGCCATAAAAACATTTGTCATATCAGTGACTGATCTGGTTTTTTTGCTGTTCTTGAAAACACATGTTAACTATTGTAGACATTTAGTTAATATTTGTTAAATGAATTATGTGATGACCTATGAAGCCTATGGTGGACAAATGCTCACCCATGGGAAAAGTAGTAGATTGGGTGGCCTTTAGAGTACCTTAAAACTCTGAAAGTCTTTGCATTGCTTCATTTATTTTGTCAACAAGCATTCGGGTTCTTATTGTGTTCCAGTTACCTGTGTACATGACAATGATTAAAACGATAAGGTCCTTTCAAGATGCTCACAATTTAGTGGGGTGAACTTTTAGAAAAATATTGCTACTACCTCAAAGATTTAGTATTGAAAAGAACTGTCAAATGGGAAAGAATGACAGGATGCCACGGTCCTTATTGTCCCCACAATTTTACCTTCCTTTGGAGGATTCTTTCACTTGGATTACTGTTTTTACCCTCAAACTGCCCTCAGTAATGGCTGATAATACTCAAACCTTCAAGCTCAAGAGTGGATAAAAACCTTTGCCTTCATGTTCATCTTAGCACAGTTGAGACAACCTAGAACTTTACTCAATATCATAGGAGGAAATATAAGGGAACATAAGGAATATAAAAACAATCTGTTTACAAATAAAGATTTCTGGTGCTACCATGGTATAGAGTCTGTTCCAGGAACTCACTCGCCTTGCCTGACTTTATCTTTCCTTTCGTTGTAGCTGGATTCTATCCCCAAAGGACACACCAAATTTGATACTTCAGGCTCCTAATTTCCCAGCTGCTTTTTGGACTGCCTTTTCTGAGTGAATGCCATTTTTACATACCTTGCTTACGAGCTTCGTCTCAGACATCTCTCCTCTGTTTTGGTCAAGCCTTATGTCTAGTTTGCAGCTTAGCAGGGGCTCCTTTGTTTAGTGGCAGCCTCTTCAAGTGATGAAAGTCAGGAGGGACCTCTCTCCAGGTGGGACCTGGTGCCATCCAGACCTTTATCTTAGTAAGTTCTTTATATGCATATCTTAACAGAGGTCAACAATCTTAGCATTTATACAGAGAGTTTCAGTAACTAGGTAGTTTCTACTAGGCAGTTATAGGAAATTGTTCCCTACCCAGGAGTCAGCTCAGAGTGAAGACAGGTATCTCGGGGGTTGCCAGAGAATTTCCTGTGCCTGTGGTGGTTAGAGAAGACCCTTGATCTCTTTTCCACATGGATCTTGCAGGGTGAGTAGGAGTTCATGTGAAAAGGCTAGGGTAGAGGAAAGGGCTTTCTAGGTAGGGGGGAAAGAAAATTCCCATTCACTGAGAAGCACTAGAATGTTTAGAACTCAGCTTTAAGTGTTCCCACTTTGAGGAATCTGGAAGTTAGTGTCTCCAGTGGGGTAACTGTGATAGCAAAAATTACTGAAACCTCTGGGTGCAAGAATTTGGGGCTCTTTTTCTGGATTAAAAGACCTTTGTGTGGTGGTTGGATGTCGGGGAGGAGGATGTAGGAGAGAGAACTGTAGGGGAGGAAGGCACTGGGGAGGGATGTGGGGAACTGCCTTCTTATACTCTGACTTTATTCGGGACTAATTTATGGAACATGGCTATGTTCTTTGTAAGCCCTGAGGGCAGAACCCACGCACTTGGCAAAAGGGGGTCAGATTTTTATCTGAACATAAGGAGATCTGATCCCCAGTTTTGTTCCATAAAATTTGGATTTGGTCAAAAGGCTACACTCAGGGATCCAGAAGGTCACATGTCACCCCAAAGCCTCAGGTTCCCCACCCTTGGAAGGAGATGTGCACTACGTATTCCTTGTATCAATTTAGCATTGTCCGTTGATCACCTGTTTGAATTGGAATAGACCTGAGGATGTTGTGAGTTTCCATGAGCAAAGCTATTTAATTCAGGCCAGGGTAACAATACAACATGGGATGGGGGTGGGAATGGGCTGGGACAAGAGAGGAGTTGGATTTTTTTTTTCTATCTGGAAGGCCTTTTTACCAACTTTGAACTACTACGATTCCATGACGACCTGACTATTCCTTAAAAAGATATGTGAAAATTTCATGTCATCTTATAAGTCCTCATAGTATTGGTTCATTTAAGATTAGTTTTTTTCATTGTGAAATTGCACTATTTCAGTTCTCTGCTTCATTCATTAGTTTCACTAATAATTATTAGACCTTGGCTGAGTTCAGTTGAGCTCCCGGTAGAGTTTTATGTGCTACGTATGTTATGACATTTGCATAAATTTTGTTTAAGAAGTGCAAATCAAAGTGTTTCTTACAGTGCAAGCAGAATTCTAGAAGTTGAGGACGTCTTAGAGTGATGGAGTGAGGTCTCTGAAGTCGGCAAAACTAGAATCCATCTAAAAATCCAACTAATTTTTGAGTATGTGAAATTTTGGTTTAATGGCATAAATTAATAAATTTTCAACTGTGCACTTGAGACTTATCACTTGGCAGTAAAAATTGCTGGTTTCAAGGCCCCAAAGAGGGAATTTATCCTGTGTAATTGTTGAAAATTAGACCTTTACTCTGAATTCAGAGCAGCAGGCAGTCTTCATGCCAGCGAATCTGTCTGGAAACAGGCTGCTTCTGTGTCTTTAAAGGTCAG